TATAATATGTGATTTGCCAGTGTTGTGGCATAGTGGGTGAAGCCACTGCCTGTGCCATCTGCATTGCATATGGGCTTCCATTCCTTTCCTAGCTGCTTCACTTCCCATCCAGCTCCCTGCAAATGGCCTGGGAAAAGCAGCAGAGAAAGGCTCAAGAATGCTTCATCCTCTGCAGTCACCCAGAAGAAGCTCCTAGCTCCTGGCTTTGGCCTGGTCCAGCCCTGGCAATTGTAGTAATCTGGGAAGTGAAACAGCAGATGAAAGATTTCTCTCTCTCTCTCTCTCTCTCTCTCTCTCTCTCTCCCTCCCTCTCCCTCCCTCTCTCTCTCTCTCTCACTGTAATTTTGATTTTCAAATAAATAAATAAACCTTTAAAAGAAGGAGGAGGAAGAAGAGGAGTAGGAGGAGAAAGAAAAGGCAGTCAAACAGAATGAATGTGACCACACCATGTGTGAAGGCTTTTGAGAAAGAGGTTTTTTTTTATTTTTTAATGATGTTGATGGCAAATGAAAGAACATTTTCTAATGCTTTGCATTTGTATCACATAAAAGTGTGATAAATATAAGAATATTGGTGGATGGCCACAGTCTATCTTACTAAAAGTTTTCACTGATATTTTGCCAAAAGCAATCCATTACCAATACCAAAAACACTGACCTTATTATGCTGCCTCCATCTTTTAGAACCTTTTATCAGGTAGGAAAGTTTTTTATGTGCCTCACACTTCCAATTCTCCTACAATATAGCATCACTTTCTGAGGCAAAATTTCTTGCCTAGTTTGCAGGTTTTGCCTTACTAGTTGCTATATTCAATTATTTATTAAGGAAACAAAAATGATCATTCCTTTTCCCTTGACATTGACATACTGGAAAGAAAAGGGGTAATATAATTACAATTTAGCATTGGAAGGAATGTCTCTAGGAAACATTTTCCAGACAGAATGAAACTAGTCAATTGTGGGGCAGAAACAGATTCTATGCAACAAAACTTACTCATGCTGGAGGCAGCTTTAAAAACATCTTATGGACACTGTTCTCCTGCCAGGCTGCATCAGATAGACCCTTGCTTTTAGACACGCATATGTAGAACATTTGTCCAGATGCAAGTTTTGATAAGAATAATTTAGCAAATAGTTTATGAAAGTAGTATGTGGAGGCACAATATTAATACTTTTTGTGTGCACAACTCTGTTGGTTTTGTTCAATGTCAGGGAATGGTGTTAATGTGGTGAAAATGATGGAATTGTCACATATTCCCAAACAAAATCCCCATTACATGTGTTTTTTTTTTCTTTTGTTGATCATGAGGAGTATAGTTTTTCTTTTCTGATAAATGGGAGTAAGATTTCAAAGTGGCTTTCCAAATCAAGACTCAAAATGCAGTTATTGTATTAACCAGTCATAAATATGTAAGTCCCTTTTAATAAGAGATAACAGGTTCCTAGGAAAAGCACATCACCAGAAAGCAAGTTTTCTCTCCTCCTTGTGCATTTGAGTCCTGGAACTCCACTGAGGAGGACCAAAGTCACAGCACATCTGACTAAAGTCTGGGCAAACGGGTATAGTCATACATGCTAGTTCCCAGCACTTTGGCTATAAAAAGTATAGAAAATATTGTCACATTGAAAGAAATGACTTTTTCAAACATAACTTTGAATAACTCTGTATCAAAGTATGCTATGTCAGATATATTGTTTTATTTGAAATCTGTGAGCAATTCAGCTCACAAGAACCACTGATCAAATTATCTAATCTTTCAATAATTTTTTTTAGAATTCAATACATAGCAGGAAGGTAGAGTTATAAATCAATTAGGTAGGTCATATATGACAGAGGACAATAATTCCAAATAGCGGTAATTTATATAAGGAAAGAAATAAAATGGAAGTGAAATGAAAGTGATGAGGATGAGGTCAAGTGCTCCATAGCTTAGGTTTGCAAGGCTGGCATTTCTCAGAGTTAGAAATGTTTGAGCTGAAGTACGAGTGATGAGAAGGAGCCACTTATGTACAGATTTTGAGGGAAAGTCTTTTGGGCAATAGAAAGCAGTAACTGCCAATGTCATCACATTTAGTAAAACACAGACACACAGAAAACCAAAGAGAACAAGGAAGACAAGAATTAGTGGTTTAGTCAAGGACCGAGTATTTTAGGGTGTTGTAGGTAAATGTGACAACTTTATTACAAATCCAGTAAGATGGCACTGGAGAATTTTTTGAGTGTCATAACATGACTCATGTTTTAGCACTGTGAGATGAATCGGAAGAGTCCAAACTGGGCCATGGGAAATCATTGAGAATATGCCTGTAGAAAATCTGGGGAAATGCTAGTGATTCAAATAACAGTGAAAACATTGGCAATGGAGATACTTGTGTGCCTTTGAGTTTTGCTATGCTGACTGAGCGGACAAGAATGGATGGATTGCAGCCAATGGGTGGGAGAGAGGCTAAGGTTTGGGTCTTGGGCAACAGGTAGTTCTACAGATGTGCATCAGGAACAGTGAGAGCACGACACTGTTTGCTGATGTCATACAAATGAAAATAATAGTTTATTTTTATTTTATTTAAAGATTTATTTATTTAAAAAGTATAGTAGCTGAGAAACAGGGAGAGAAAGAGAGTGAAAGGTCTTCCATCCACTGATTCACTAAACAAATGTCTGCAGCAGTCAAAGCTAATGCAGGCCAAAACCAGGAGCCAGGAACTCCATATGGGTGCCCCAAAGGGTGACAGGGAACTAACTGAACCATGATCTACTGCCTCTCAGGCACGTTAGCAGGAAGCTGGATCAGAAATATAAAGTAGTTGGAATTTGAACAAAGCATCCCAAAGCAGGAGTTGAATGTTCCAAATGGCAACTTGCCCTGCTTGAGTGACAGTACTCCTGAATAATTTTATTTCTTATATAAGATTTGAGATGCCTATGAAATATTCAGGCAATGTAGTCATGTAGGCAGGCTTGGCAATCTTGAATAAAGCTCAAGAATGAGAACAGAGCTTGGAAGCCACTGACATATAACTGCTTACAGTCATGGGACTACAGGAGGTCATAGAGAGAGAGCCAGGGTACAGATAAGAAGGGCAATGCCTGAAGCTTGCAGCGCACTAGGTTTTAGGAGAGAGATGGGAGGGAGCACCATGTGAGTCAGGGAGACACCAGCTACTTGTAGTGTCTCCCCAAAGTCAACAGAATATAACGCTTCAGGAAGGAAGTGATATTAACAGTAACAAGGGTTGCTCGTGTATTCCATAATCACATGGGCCATCACGGAGAACCCTAGTTACCTGAGAGAAGACAATCTCAGGGGACTGTGGGGTAATCTGATTGTAAAGGATGGGGAGAGTCTTCAAGGTGGGGGGCAAGTGCAGACAGTGACAATGAACAAATCTCTTAGACAGGTTTGAGTGGCATAAATATGAACTATAAATTTACACATGCTTCTAGTGAGATGTAATTATTGACTTTAGTTCTATTTGTTCGCTCTTCTGTCTGTGGAGGAAAGAACTCATTGCACCTTTCATATTTTTAATATTTGCTCTAAGAATAATTCATAAAATTCCATTTATTAAGAAAAAAAATCAGACACCAAGGGAAAGAGATGATTCTCAACCATGATTCTATGTCAGAGAAAAGAAAGTAGTATTTTAATGCAAATTTTAGAGGTATTTACAGATTCATTTAAGTTGAATTGCTAGGAATAGAGCCTAAATGACTACACTACTGTAAAAAAGGAGGGTGCACGGTTATGGGATTATGTTCAGAAGCTGGTGCTAAGCCTGTCTGCTTTAAAGAATGGTAACGGAACTTTTAAACTTATCACTCACCCACTGAAATTAAAAGAAAGCAAAACAAAATATACTGTTCTAAAATAATGTATCTCCTTTAGTGAAACCCACTTCATATTTGTACTTTCACATATTTTGTAAAGTGGCCAAGGAGTTTAACTTAATTCAAAAGAAAACAAAAATGTAATGCTTATTTCATATTACTTTATATGTGCAAAGGAAAACACTTTTAATAACATTCTTCTTTGTGTGTGGGGGTGTGGTGGGAGTGTATGTGTGTGAACATGGGCTTTCACTTATTTCCCTTGTATGACACTTCAGACTAAGGTTGCTGGCCCTTATAGTAAGGTATGTTTTCCTATGTAAGAACTGCCACAGAGTGACTGGACTATTTGGCATTCTACCAAACTCTCAACCTTTCAGATTCAGTTTTTGTGTACAGTTGAAAACTGTACCTTTCTGAATAGCATTTGATATTGTTACATTTTTATTTGTGCTGTAGATGTTCTAAAATCGTGTAGTAGGTTTTCCATGTGATTTAAATTTTGACTTATCTGAACTGGAACTTGCCATTCATATATCTTCTACAGTTAAGTGTCTGTTCAGATCTTCTGATGATTTTCTTATTCCTTATTTTTTCCCTGTAGTTGAGTTCTTACATTTCAGAAACAAATTCTTTATCAGATACGTAATCTGGAATTTTTTCTGAATATATGACTGTTTTTATTCTTCTAACAGGGTCTTTCACAGAGAACATTTTCAAAGAGAACCTTTAAACTATGAAATTTACAGTTTTATAAAGACATTTCTTTTCTCACTTGTGTGTCCTGTTGATGCTACATCTGAAACCAATGGCAGGAGGGCATGAATGCAGACATCACACAGGGAACTTTGAAAATCATAGAACTGTTTTGTCCGTGGCACTTGGGTGGTACACACATGACTCTGTGCATTCATCAAAACCCATAGGACTGTACTACAAAACAAGTGAAGTTGAAAGAATGCCAATGAAGAAAGAAGGAATCAATGAGGGCATCAGGGGATGTGAGGATGCAGTGTAGACTGCAATATAAGAAGCAAGTCATTTTATAAATGCACAGCATAACTAAACTGAAAGAAGTGAGGTGAAAACGAGGCGATTTAAGAAGCATTGGAAAGAAAGGAATGTTTTGACTGGAAGCTGTAAGACTAAAGATAAAAGAAATTACTACTTACTTGTTAAATTTGCTTTCTCACAGAGGTGCGGATTAGCAATTCTCAAACAACTTAACAAGGATAGTAGAACTTGACAAATGAAGTAAAAATTATGAATAATGAGACCCAGGTGTTTTTTCTTCTCAGAGAAAGATGCAAAGTGAAGGTTGGATGCTACAGTGAACCTGGTGGTTATGGAATAGAGTTGGAGATGTCAGCATAAGGTCATGTCTACTTTTCAATAATATACACAAAGGAGGATGCAGAAATTATAGATAGATGAGAGCATGAAAGCATACATACGTGTATTTACTAGCCTTGCCTTCTGTCAGGGTCTGGAAGCACCAAACTTCTAGTGGAATCCTAATGAAATCAGCTAGAGCTCCTTGAGGAAATGGGTAACTGTACACCTAGGACAGAGAAGATACAGTGTACATCTGGTGCATATTATATTGCTAGAAAGTGGAAAAATGCTTAAAAAGGGGATATTAAAGGAAGATAAGGTCACTCTGAAGAACACAGGGGACAAACTGAAAGATCTTACAGTAGTTACATCTATTTAGTCAGACATAAGAAATTACAAGGGAATTTAGGAACTAATTTAAACAGTAAAATATATAACATGATATTGAGTTATAGTGTAACATATAAATGAAGGATATAAGAATCCGTAATTATATAAAAACAATGGAAAAAATAAGCATATTGTGTGTGTGTGGTCTTACTTGCAGAGAACATTTCAAATAATATATAGATGCACCTCTTTTCAAGAAGTGGAGCTTGATTCGGCCTGATTTGAGTATGGGATGGACTTAGAGACTCACTTTCAAACAATAAAATACATGAAAGAGTAAATAGTAACTTTAGAATGGGGGAACCTGACAGATACTACCTTAACCAAATGATCAAGATAAGCATAACCAGAAATAAGTCATGGTGATAATCACACTTTGAGACAGTGAAATTGCAAAAGTGTTCACCTCTGGGTATTTTTCACACACAAAAAAAATCTACAAATACAGTCTAATCATGAAGATGTGTCAGACTAACACAAACTGATGTATCTTCTACACATAACCTGACCTATAAAGACCAAAATTATCAATGCCATGAAGAACAAGAACAGGTTGGGAAAATGATGTACATTGGATGGGACATACAGGTAGGCATTCTGACTAGGTACAATTCCTCTGGGGAAATCTGGAATAACACAAGGACAGTATTGGGGAAAAAAGTGAAAACTGACAAATTCTAGAACTTAGTTCCTAGTAATGTAGCAGTGGTAACATCTTTTTTTTTTAACTTTTATTTAATAAATATAAATTTCCAAAGCACAACTTTTGAATTATAGCGGCTATTGCCCCCATAACCTCCCTCCCACCTGCAACCATCCATCTCCCACTCCCTCTCCCATCCCATTCTTCATCACGATTCATTTTCAATTATCTTTATATACAGAAGATTAACTTAATATATACTAGGTAAAGATTTCAACAGACTGCACCCACAAAGACACACAAAGTATAGAGTACTGTTTGAGTAGTAGTCTTACCATCAATTCACATAGTACAACTCATTAAGGACAGAGATCCTACATGGGGAGCAAGTGCACAGTGACTCCCATTGTTGATTTAACAATTGACGCTATTATTTATGATGTCAGTAATCACCTGAGGCTCTTGTCATGAGCTGTCAAGGCTATGGAAGCCTCTTGAGTTCGCCAACTCTGATCTTATTTAGACAAGGCCGTATTCAAAGTGGAAGTTCTCTCCTCCCTTCAGAGAAAGGTACTGCCTTTTTTGATGGCCCTATCTTTCCACCGGGATCTCACTCACAGAGATCTTTCATTTAGGTCATTTTTTTTTTTTTTTTTTTTTTTTGCCAGAGTGTCTTGGCTTTCCATGCTTGTGAAACTCTCATGGGCTTTTTAGTCCAAATGCCTTAAGGACTGATTCTGATGCCAGACTGCTGTTCAGGGCATTTGCCATTATATGAGTCTGTTGTGTATCCTGCTTCCCATGTAGGATCATTATCTGCTTTTTAATTCTATCAGTTATTATTAGCAGACACTAGACTTGCTTATGTGATCCCTTTGACACTTAATCATTATGATGAATTATGAACTCCTCTCTTGTCTGTGCTCCCCCTGATGCTTGATGTGGGAACCTGAGTAGCTTCCTCTTTTTCCTGTGCCTGTTTCCTCATCTGGGACAGGGGATGATGTTGCAGTCTCAGAGCTTGAAATGAGTTTATACAAAAAAAACCCTAAGAAGAGCACTTGATGCAGAGTATTTGGAAATGCTGGGTTTTGTACACATTGTTACTGAGGTAAAGTGTGTTTTTATTTTTTTATTTTAATTTTTAATTAGTTTTTGACAGATTCAATGCAACTTGTAGATGTAAAGCTTTTTTTTTTTTGCAATTTCTTTTTGAAATTATTTCCAGATAAAAATTTAAGATAATTTTAAAATACTTTGTGATGGAGTTAGATTTTTCCTTTTAAGCAGGATGAATTGAGACCAGATTTGTTATCACCTCGGAAACAAAGTTATAGCACTGCCCATTTCTTTTTTTGAAAGAGTTTATTTATTTATTTGAGAGGTAGAGTTACAGTGAGAGAGAGAAACAGAGAGAAAGGTCTTCCTTCCATTGGTTCACTCCCCAAATGGCAGCAACGGCTGGAGCTATGCTGATCTGAAGCCAGGAGCCAGGTGCTTCTTCCTGATCTCCCACGCAGGTGCAGGGACACAAGCACTCGGGCCATCTTCCACTGCTTTCCCAGACCACAGCAGAGAGCTTGATTGGAAGAGGAGCAGCCGGGACTAGAACCGGCACCCATATAGTATGCTGGTGCTGCAGACAGAGGATTAACCTACTGCGCTATGGTGCCAACCATGCCCCCATTTCAAAGCTTAAATCAAGCTATGGAAGTCAAGGCAGTGCAGAAGTGGTAAAGGTACACAAATAGGTCAGTAGAACATGAAAGGAGACACAAATTAGAGCATATTTATTTGAGCAATTGGTTTTCAATAAAATTACAAAAGCAATTCCGTGAGAAAAAAACATGGAGTATTTGTTTTCATATGTTTGGCTTATTTCACTTGGTTTGTTACTAAATTCTCCAAGCATTTTGTATTCCAGTCTTCTTATTTTCAACCTCATTTGTGCAATATTGTCAGAGTTATCTACACATATCCTACCTCTATGGCAATTCTGTGGTTTAAGTCATCTTATGTCTGTTTTTTGGCAACCATTAGTTTAGGTCAGGTTTAGGCATTCTTTGGCAGTTTATAATTAAGCTACTCATAATCATTCAAATGATTTTCAACTTTCAAAATGTTATTATATGCAGTCCTGCTATTTTTATTTTTATTTTATAATGTCTTTACTATAATCTCAATGGCACTTTAATTAATGGGAAAAAAGGAAATATGTATCCTTAGTTCATTTTAACTTAGTTTAAGATGTTTAACTAGAGAACATTTCACTATTTGACATGGGGTTAAAAAATAGAATCACCTGGTTGTCCTTATTTTGACATGTCAGTGAAACAAAATCCATTGGTATACACTTGAGTATTTGACTGTATCTGTCATTTTCAACTTAGTAGCTGAGCCTTGTGTGTCTCTTTGTTACATTAACAGACATTCCTTCATTTCACCATATATGCATGCTGCCCTTGTATTTCTAGTCTCTTGATATAGAGAGGAAACCACAGTTCAAAGACCTTAATTATTTTGAGCTTGTAAAATAAAACAAGAAATTAAGCCAAGTTGATCAGAATCCTCCTGCAACTCCCTGTACTATTAAAAAAAAGTCCAATTACCTAACCTAGGCACTTACCTGATATATTTAAAATGAGAAATCAGCTGGGGGCAATTTTAATTCAGAAGAAGAGAAAAGTACAAACATGTGCATGTTTGACATTTATGCAATACAACATATTGAACAATGTGTTTGCTGGTTTTTCTAATAAAAGGAAGACATGCTCTTGGGCATTGCATTTAATTTTCTATGCAATTTGTTGCAAGCTTTTGAGAAAGATTTACTAATCCTTAGGGCTGGAAGAACTGTTTCTAAGTAATACTCACCTAGAACCTTGTAGGGTTCAATTCAATTTCTGACACATACATATGTTCACAGAGAATTGACTTGCAACAATATCTGAAATTTTTCTGTGATAGAAGTGATACAAACTATATAATCTAATGGGAACTGCTAACCTTTTGTTGACTTCTGCAATGAATTTCAAAAGGAAATCCCTGTTGCTTTGAAAGTTATCTCTTTCCAAGAAGAAAATCTCTCAGTTTCATAAAGGGTCATAAATATTGCTCAAGATTAGCCCTAGTGATTTAAAGTCTCCAATATGTTTTTTCTCTTTGCACTTTTTTGTAATATTGCAGAGTAGGATGCTGTTCAAGTTGTTTTACATTTCATGTGTATAAAATTTAAATATAATAATATATTAATAAATTTATCCAAATAAAAGGTTGGTTTTAATTTCCCTATAAAATGTGGGTAATTTCCCCAAAATAGAGGTTGACATCACACTTAGACATTTATTAGTTTATTTGATACTGTAGTAGTACTACAGACTAGCTGTACAACTTCTTTGGGAGTGTGGAACTCAGTGTGTAACTATGAATAGACTCAATGCTTTCTGGGGGACTTTTAGAAAACAACTAAGTGCAAAGCTTACAGAAGGAAAGGAGACTGAGGTGTGCAGGGAAAAGATACTCAGGAAGACACAACCATCAGTGGATAGCACTACTGGGGCAAAGAGAAGATGTCATATTTAGAGAATGGCAATGACTTCTGAAGAGTGTAATTGGGAAAGTGAGATTGTAAAAACAAGGCTTGTAGATCGGATGGAACAATGAACATTATTCTGAGTGGTACTGATTGTGTCCTGAAGAGTCACAGCATGAGATATTTATACGTTTAAAAGTTTATACATTTTTAAATGTAAAAATGACTTCTGTATCAGAGCATAGAACAAGCCAGATGATTATATGGCTCACCATATGATCGGTATTTTCATACTTATTACAGTAATATATGCAAGAAATGGTAAGAGAATAAGCCTGGCTAGTAGTCAAAAAAAAGTAGAAAGATAAAAAGGATGTGTAAATCTGAGAAGTTATTGGAAGGATATTATAATAGAATTTGATGGTTTGTTGAAGATGGAGGGTCAGGTTAAAGAAAAATAAATCTTAAATATGTTTCATATTGGAGCCTGGGAATTTAATGGTGCAATTGATAGAGACAGGGTATGTTTTGGGTGGAGAAATGCTAACTACTTTGATGGAGGACTTTTCAAGATGAGTTGTCTGGTGGCAGGTTTCACATGTACCTCTAGAATTCAGAGGAAACTGTGCTATACTTGTAAATCAGTGATTGATCTTTGAGTGGATGCATTCAGACAGCTGGTGAGCCTGACAGCACAGCTTTAGTGAGGTGGGTGTTCCCAGAGGAAAAGTAGAAATGAATCAAGAAAAGAGCCATTATTGACTCAAAAGATTCTGGGTTGCAACAATATTTAAAGGGTAGAAAAAAGGACTACACATTCAAGCGAGATATACTCAACTTTTCAAAAATCTACTTCTTTATGTTCTGTGCATTATTGAAGTATATAATCTTAGCCATACACTCAAGATCACCCATGATCTGACCTGACCTGTTTTTCTAGAATGAAAGAAAGAGGAGGAATGGAACTTAGGGAAGTAAAAAGGAGAAAGAGGTAGAGGGAAGAAAAAGGTTTATGTAGTTGAGTTGAGATGTAGCAGGGAATGGGAGAAATTGACTTAACCACTACTTACTTGGAAGGACAAAATTAAATGTTGTGGGGTATATATTAGGTGAGGTAATATTTTACCCTTATTCTATGAGGGAAGCCCAGTGAATAATCTGAAGTAGAAAAGATAGTGGGGAAATAAGGCCACCCAGACTTTGCCCCGGATACCACTGGTTATTAGGAACCACGGAGCAGCTTGTAGGACCACATGCCCCATTTTCAGCTTCTCAGTTACTGGATTTTCCTGTAAACACCCCCTTACCTAGGATTCCAGGACCAGAAGGGGCATTGACACCACATACATGGAGCCAAATCATTCTGGTCTGATGGAAATCAGGCTAGTCACCCCTCAAACTTACCCAGTAATCTGACTTCTGCCACCTGCCTCACTGGTGCTGTCATGAGAACAGACCTTCAAGTTACTCCAGCTTCAGTGGAAGCTGCCTTTACTCCTCTTGGAGCTAAACTGGAGATGATTACACCAGTGTTATTTGAATGCTTCCAGAGTTCATTGTTATGACTCCCTCTCATGAGTTGACTAACATCCTACTTCCAGATTTAAACATCTGTATGCCTCATTGCCCAGGTCCTAGTTCCCACTTCAGAAGATAGACCCTCTCCCCTCACTGTGCAAGCCTGCCTGTCTTCATGTCTAAGTTCTTTGTAGGTCGTGCCAACAGGAAAGAGAAACCCTCTCATAAGCTGGTTATATTCAACCTCATTTTGTGATACAGCTTTAATTTATTTACATTTTAGAAATATCTACTTTATCATAACCTATACTGTATTGATTCTGGGGCAATTTGTCTGTGTTCTTTTCATTATTGATTCTGAACATTCCAAAATACAATACGTCTGAAATTTGAGTCTTAAAGTTAAAACTGCAAATTTCTTGTGAAAAAAAGAACCATTACAAATTTCTCTTCAGGGCTTTTGAGAAAATCAATTTTCATTTGGCAGATCATTGTGATTTCAGTCTAAAAATCAAAAGTGAAGTTTTATAAGATGTA